AATAGTTTCTAATCACTGAACCAGAACTTTCCTTTAGTTTTAGACAGTAGAAGGATGGATTTCACTAAATAAACAAAGAAATCTCACCTGAATGTTTCCTTTATTCTACAGCAAACGGGTTTTGGGCAGCAGGAGGCGGGCTTTACTGCTAGAGAGTGGTGATTGGTTGGCGAGCGGAGCAGGTCATTGGCTGTTCATGCTCACTGACATCATGAACATACATGGGGTGCAGTTTTAAACTCCTATAACTCGAGTTTAAAAGCTCTTAAATATATAACAGCAGTGTTAAAATGTTTTATGCTGCTCTGTGTTCAGGATATGAATGGATTATTTTACATTTAAAATGTTTAAGCATTTATAAACTATGATTTTGCTCAAATGCTCCATCTTAACCCATTCATTTTGGACTCCAGAGTTTGAGAAACCCGGAAGACATTGCAGAGTGTAATGCCCCTCTCTGATTACACCTCATTAGCAGGAGACATTAGCTGTGTCCCAATTCAGGGGCTGCATCCTTTGGAGGCTGCATTTGAAGGCCGATTGCCTCACAGTGGTGCGACTCTGCTCTCCCATTTCGAATCTCCTTCATATGTGGCCGAGAAATGTGTCCTTCTTTTCCATGGCAACGGGTGGATCCTTCACCAGCCAACATATCCCGAGGTTCACTGTGTGCCAGTGAGGATTCAAGAACGTGGCGGCGTCAGCAGAGGAGCGAATGGCGGCTGAGGAGACAATTTAAATGTCAGTATTGGGTTTAAACTGAGTCGAATAGCTAAAAATACAAACATTAAATAAAGCCAACGTGGTTTGAAACAAAACTTACGCTCACGTTTTGTTTTGTTTTAAGGATTAAAGAGCCGACAGAGAGAAGCTCTTTAATGCACTTTAAAAGAACTTGACAGGAGCGTTGTTTCGTGACGCAGCGGTGAGGGCGGGAACAGCGCTGCTGTGAGGCAAACAGGAAATCCGCCATAGAGCAGACCGTCTCATTTCAGTTCAGCCTTCGTGGGGCTACGCAGCCTTCATAGGCCGCGTCCTCTGAAGGATGAAGCCCCTGAATTGGGACACAGCTATTGTATTTGATAAATGTGTTCACTTACCTTGATTCCAGAGAAAAGGTGGCATAGGGGTCTCTGTCCTCTTATAGGGGCTGGGTGACCTCACAGCCATCCTGTGGAGGGGGAGCAAAGCCAAAGTAAAACCCATAAAGAGAAGAAAGAGTTAATGAAAACTAGAGCTGGATGTGGAAGTGCTTACCAGTATAATGAGAAATGGCCTTGTAAACATTGTTGATGTAGCGTATGCATATGTTACGGGTTGGCGGTTAGCCGATGTGTTATTGTTACCCTATAATCTGCATAGCAATGTTCCAGCCTCAATTAGGGCGGGGCTTAGGCTACAAAGCCAGACTCTAGGGTTACTACAGGGTTACTTGGGGGAGAAAATAGAGTAGGCTGGGGGAGACAGACATATTCAGTGGCTTCAGACTGATGTTTAGGCTGTGAGCACGAGTGGCTGCTGGATATTAGCTGAGGAGCTAATGGAGTCACCTTAAAACTAGTTTTGTTTTTACACCTCAAACACTGCTGTAAATATGTAAACAATCTTTTTTCTGGCAGATTGATGCTTAATAAGTGATAGAGAGCACTTGAACCTTTCTGGACGTGTGTGCGACGTTACTTGAAGGTGAATCCAAGGCTTCTTTCCTGCTGGTAGCCACACCACTGGTGACACAGTGTCCCACTGCCTGTGACGATGATAGTGCACTGCAACATATCACTGTCCAGCAACCTTGTTCATCTCAGTTTATACAACAGTGAGTTCCGGCCACGCAAGCTGATTGGTTGAGAGACGTTCTAACTGTGCTGTTTTTATTTTACCATAACATCACAGGTTTTTCACAAACACTGTATCACTCCGCTGAGACGCCGTTGCTAAGCAACGACTCTAACAGCTGTAGGAGACGCTCGAGCCATTTAAACGTTTGTACTTCTTACTTTGCCACAAACAGAAAATGGACACTTTTAAGATCACATTTGACCGACAGCCGATTTGGTCAGACTCTGAAGATGAGACGACACTAAATTCCCAAACTGTCATCACCACTGAGCAGCTTTTCAGTCGGCAGCTGTGACAGAAGAACAGCTAAACAACCTGGAATCAGCCAGAAATGAACCCAACACCATTCGCCAAACGTGTAGTCTGATCTTCAGAGCCTGACCAAATCAGACTGAGCCATAAAACTGACCCAATAAAAAACAAAAAAGCTGCTCAGTGGTGATGACAGTTTGGGAATTTAGTGTAAGGAGCTGGAGAACGAACTGCCGGCTGTGCAGCGAGTGGGCGGAGCTCGTTACTCTGACGTAGCAACGAGCTGCTCGTTAAGGAACTATAATTTGGTGAAGGAACTGCGAACATTAAAACATATTAAACGCTGCGTTCACGGCCCAGTTTATTAATTTATTACTGTATTTATTTAAGTTGTATTAAAGCAATAGAACACTCGAGGAGTGTGTTATCGCCAATAACATCACGGCTGTGATGATCTGCGGCGACCAAATCACAGCCGTGATGTTATTTCACAATAACACACTCCCTCTCGGATTTTACTGCTTAAATATCATATAAAAAATAAATAAGAAACGAGGAAGAAAAGAAGAAGATAAAAAAAAGGTTTTAGAAAACGCACAAAGGCGATGTGTGTGTGTAGCAGGAGAAACACAAAACCGATCATATTCAGGATTGTGTGTTTACATGGGTCTATAGATACATGTCTGGTTAATGGTTAAGCCCTGCTCTCCAATTTTAATGTTATATCTATAGATACAGTGAAAGTCTGCTACTGAAGCGCAGTCGGAGCTCCTCAGTCCACCCCCCACCCCCCACCCCCCGGTTCCTCATTTAAATTTGAGGAAGTTGGTAACACTAAAGCCAGATGAACACAAATGTCTGCATTTTAATCACAGAAATACTTCTGCGTGCAGTTTTAGCAGTTAGCACAGTTAGCTAGGTAAGGTTATTAGCTAGCACATTTCCCTGATAGACAGACGACAGTGGGCCACTGCTGACCCGCTGATGGCAAAGCTGGTGGTCCATTCCACGTTTATGGTTTGGGGCAGATGTTTAAAGGGAAATGCTGTCCAGTGTTTTCTGTGTTATTGGTGACAGGTTCATGGTCAAAGATATGAGAATGTGCAGCTCTGTAGTTTAACATTAAAGGGAAATGTGCTCCTGAAGATTGTTGGAGGTGGGCGGGGCTAATGTGGCTCTTGGTCAATCACAACACTCTTTATAAAACTAAACAGGCAGAAAAGTACAGACTGAGTCTCAAATCACTCCTTACATACAGCACTACTGAATTAAACTCCTGACTCCTGAACCCAAACAGTTCATAATATGGCTAATAAATATTCATTTGAGCACAGCAGTGAGCACAATTCCACACCGGACAAATAGTGGGAATTTCATAACTTACAAAGCTCACTAAACAGGACGGAGGGAGACATTTGAGATTCAGCCACTATAAACAGTCAAACTGCAAACTGATGAAGTGAAACAGTGAAAATACAGTCAGAATTGTTCAAAATACAGAAAAACTGCTATATATACACATATATGCATACAGCAACACATACACTTTATATTCTCTATACACTAATACATACACTGTAAACACTATATACATCAATGTACACATTATACACTCTTTACAAATTAGTGGATACACTATACATTCTCTATACTCTAACTTATACACTATACAGTCACTATAAACCAATGTACACCACTATACATGTTCTGTACGGTCAGTTATCAATCAGTTATCTGTAGTCTGCAGACTCTCACAGGTCTAAAATAGGCTGTGGTCAGAGTGAGTACAGGAAGAACGTGGACTGCTTCAGAACAGTGTGTGCAGCACAGCATCAGAACTGATCTCTGATCAGCTGTACAGTTTCAGTGGTTTTAAGACACACATTATTCTGGGACAGTCCACTTCCTTCCTGTACTCGCTCCGACCACAGACTAGACTTAGAGGGCTGAGCTCATCTGAAAACTACAGCAAGAAAGCTGAGCGGTCACACATTTATTAGTGTATAGAGAGTGTACAGTGCATACATTAGTGCATAGAGAGTGTA